AATAAGCTTGGATGTGTCCCCTCGCGAGCCTCGCTGCACAACTGTTTGGGCTATTTAAAATGTCTGTGCAGAATCAACGAAGCTTGAATGTAGCCGGAAATGTGCTAAAGGGACTCATCGCCCTTAATCGTCCCGTGAATTTGTCTCATTAGAGCTTAATGAATTACCTAGTGCTCAATCAAAAAGACATCTTGCAAATTGTCCCATGGCACGCTCAGCATGAGTTTGCCGTTATCAAGTCAAGTCTGTAACTATAACCTATAGCCCAGTAATAATTTACATAGAGTTGATTCCAGTAACTGTGTCCTCACTTGACCTTTAATGTTTGCTCATATATCATTTATTTCAACGCAATGTATCTTCACCAGTGTTGTTCTATGACGTTTCTAATAATGAAGGTCTCGCGGCACTTTAGACCTCGGAACATTAAAAACGTAATATTACAAATCAACCAACTTTTACAACTTAATCACTCGGTTAAGTAACGTTATTAACTAAGTGAAACTTTATACTTCAAACTTATCTCAAGATTCAATTTGAAATAAATAACTACGCAGGTAAGCGGGGGTAGCGAAAAACCCCCTTTTTTCTACTTATCCTATCCCCCCCCCCCCCCCCAAAGCTTGCTCGCACGCGTGGAAAAAACACTGACCGAAAGTGCTAGATGCATCTTACGAAGTCACTGGTATTTCCTCACCTCTGGGTGATTTCTTTCTGGCAAAGTTTCCACAAAGTTCCCCGACCTATTGAGGACAGCTAAATACCCAACAAGACTTGAAACTAAAAGTTCTGGAAAAAATTTCAATTTCAACTTTGCGCAAGTTTCGTCGGCAAACGGTAACCAAAGAAGATTTCAGTGTTGCTTGCAGACAGAGGGTGTTTCATCGCAAACCGGACCCACACTTGGAGAGTTATACTATTACTTGAAAAACCAGAAACAATTCCCTGCAGTCGCGTCTAAATCTGTTCCATGAAATAAGTACATCTGATTATCAGCAAATAAAGCCCGGCTCTTCAATTTGCTATATTTAATGTTCCGCTGATGACTCTACACATTCTGCACAAAAGAGAATTCGACTATCTCTTTAATTGCTTGAATAAATCTACCCTTTAACCTTCTAAGCGTCTACAAATACATTACACATTCTCTCCTCGCTTTAGCAGGAACGGCCATGAACTAAAACTCCACTTTTTCCCCACGTTTTGGACCGTGGTAAATATAATGAAATCTCCCATACCTCCCCATCCTAAGGGTTGCATTCTTTTAAGAGCAAGTTCCCATAAAGTCTCCAATGTCCCGCCCAGGGAAGGCAAATGACAAGTGCATAACTTTCGACTGTTGGTTGACCTTCTAACTTACTGTAAGTTATCTGTTAGAAACGGGTCTTACTTTATACCCAATTAAAACCATTAGGGAAAATGCATTGGAGGAACAACTTACAGAAAAAGAGGTAAATGTCGGTAAACTTTTGACGATCGACGCGGAAAAAGCACGCGGGAATCAACTTGAAATCTATTGACAAAATTACCATAAAAAAGTTTATAAGCCCCCCCCCCCGTCTCTTTTAAAACTTCGTGTGGACCGATCCAGGATGGTTTCTTGACCAACTGGATTTGTTTTTAATCCTGGCTGCATGACCTTCAACGTCTTGTACTTACTTTGTATTCTAGTTCTTTATGGAGAACTAATACCATCATCGTTTCTAAATTAAATAAGCCCCCTACCCCCTCTCAAATAATGATTATTTACTAAATGACTGACCAAAGCCTCGCCACAATAAAAGAGCAAATTTTTCAATCTGCCCCTTTAAAAAACTAATTTCCGTTTCAAGAATCTAACATATTCTAATCGACTTAATTCCGCACCAATCTATCTCGGGCTTCTTTGTATTAACAACAAAAACGCGGATACCCTGTTGTTATAACTTTTTTGATGCATTTTGTCGGTTGGTCCGCCACTAACCGTGAAGTCGGCTTCCTTTGTAACAACGGTATTTCCGCGCGAGGTGAACGAACGGTGTTCCAAAAAAACCCGGAAATAAAAAGACAAAAACAATATGGAGCATGCGCTTTGTACACTACGTCTTTTTAACAAACTTAATAGGTGCATTTCCGGTCACAGTTCGATTTCCTATCAGCGAAAATACTTACAAGCGTAAATTTATATTATGAAGGAAAGAAGTAAACAAAAGTATTTGTGTGTATTGTGTCCCCGCGTATAGCTCGAATAGTATACATGTTTTTAACTCAACCGAAAATCCTATACTGCCATTCATTTTCTAATTAAAAAGAGAAAGAGATATCCAAAGATGCTGCTGTTTATTATTTCAATTGAAAGCAAAAGGCTTTGCAGTAAAATACTCAATAAATGAAAGTGAATGTTTAGAACATTTCCAAGCGAAAGCAAAAGAGTCGGTCGAGGCAGCAGTTTCCCTTGTTTTTGTTTGCTGTACAAGGTGGCTCTAACTTTTGAATCCGTGGATGAAATCCTGAAGTGTGTGACTATTCAAATGAAAGCTGGGGAGCAGTTTGTTTCTGTGGTTTTTGTTTTTATTTCAGTTTGTTTTCTTTGTTTATTATGATCTACAAGGTGGTCCTAACCATTGAGTGGCTGTGGATGGAATTCTAAGGTGTAACCACTCAAATGAAAACTGCTGAACAGTACTTTCCTGTGGTACTGTTTATGATGCTGTACAAGGTTGTTCTAACTTTTGAGTCTGTGGGTGAAATCCTAAAGTGTGACCACTCAAATGAAAGCTGCTAAGCAGCACTTTCCTGTGGTACTATTTATTACGCTGTACCAGGTGGTTCTAACTTTAACCTAACTTTTGAATCCGTAAGAATTTTTAAGTGTGTCCATTCAAATGAAAAAGGAATTATCAGTACTTTCCTGTTGTGCTGTTTTTATGCTGTTTAAGGTGGCTCTCACTTTTGAGTCTGTGGATGAAATTCTTAAGTATGACCATTCAAACGAAAGCTACTGTGCAATACGTTCCTGTGGTACTGTTTATTATGCTGTACAAGGTGGTTCTAACTTTTAAGTCTGTGGATGAAATTCTTAAGTATGACCATTCAAACGAAAGCTACTGTGCAATACGTTCCTGTGGTACTGTTTATTATGCTGTACAAGGTGGTTCTAACTTTTCAGTCTGTGGATGAAATTCTAAAGTGTGACCATTCAAACGAAAGCTACTGTGCAATACGTTCCTGTGGTACTGTTTATTATGCTGTACAAGGTGGTTCTAACTTTTAAGTCTGTGGATGAAATTGTAAAGTGTGACCATTCAAACGAAAGCTACTGTGCAATACGTTCCTGTGGTACTGTTTATTATGCTGTACAAGGTGGTTCTAACTTTTAAGTCTGTGGATGAAATTCTAAAGTGTGACCATTCAAACGAAAGCTACTGTGCAATACGTTCCTGTGGTACTGTTTATTATGCTGCACACTGACATGATTCTTACTTTTGAGTTTGGTGAAATAAAAAAATCTAAAGTGTGATCACTGAAATTGAATTAAGCTTCTTATTAGCAGCACTTTTCTGAGGTAATGCTTGCTAGGCTGTGGTTATCTTACACTGCACTGGCTATAAAAATGACAGCTACCTAGTAGTACTTTAATTCCTTTATCACTCATTCGTGTTAAATTTTCTGTATTTTGAAAAAGGCCCCTCGATTCACATGCCATTCGAATTTTTCAAAATATAATATATAAAGCAAATTATGTGTTTGTTTTACAAACAAATAAAATATACTAGAAATAGAACTCACTCGGTAACTATTGAAACCCTCCTTGTGATATCTAGGATTCACTGCTACAAAAGAAATTTTCAGTTTTTAGTTGTACTCTTTATTGAGTGAGAAAAAGTTCAGATAACTCAGCAACAGAACAAGGATTGTTGTTATATCCCTCACAGGACCAATATCAGAACCATACGAGTCGATCTTCTATTTTATTCAGACATTCTTATAAGGGACTCGACGTTGCTAAGATTGAGGTCACGAGTTCGTGTAGTATACCCAAGACTGAAAAATATTATCATAACAAAACATAATGTAGCAGGTAAATTGATATTATAACATTTTAATAATGCTGTACTGATTTTTGGAAATAGCCTAAAAGTGAGCGAGTTCCTATTTTAAAATTAATTTTTAATATAATTTAAAAGTCTTATACAAAACCGCTGTAGCGAGAACCATCTTTAACAATAAAATAAAGTCCTAATAACTGTTTAAGCCATATAACGATTAGTTTTTTGGTTTAACTACGAAATAAATCCTCGCTAGATTTTAAGCGAGCACGCAATAAAAACCAACGAGCCTAAGGTGTCGCCGAAACCGAAAAAAGGTCGGTTTATTGTTTTTACGACTGAAATAACTTGAAGGGAAAACCAGCTAGCTCATCAGTTTTTTTTAGAGCTAAACGGTATAGTAAACAATAATTATAACGCATCGTTAGTATCTTAGTCCTTTCAGAACTAAATGGGTGGCACATAAAATACATTTTTTAAAATACTGGTGACAAGCAATCAAAGCTTGAAATAAATCAGAACACGTGACAGGTGTAAAAGCGCGGGATCGCGCCTTGATTTACGGGGTCTGAAAAGTCGAAAAGAATAGTTGTTGAATTGGTTCTAACCAACTCGTGAGTTAAAAAATGCTTTCAGCTCAAAACAAAACCAAACTGATCAGAACATGAGGCCGGTTTAGCATAATTAAGAAATACAATATTTGAACAGCTGTTTTCACTACAATACAAGAAGAAAAGTCGTTTCACTGAATGTACTACTTCGACTCCGCCATACACTCTCTTTAGCTCTTCTGTTCGAAAGCATTTTGTAATGCCTTAAAAGCCTCCCTTGAAGTTTTGAGGATCGCATCCTCGAACATTCTGGCGGGAATGGTGTTGGTTGCCAAGGAGTTAGTCACAAGACATCTATAGCTAACAAGGTTCAGCAAAGAAGCTCGTGATCTTACACCCAAATATGGAATACACCGAGAACATGACCAATGAGCAATTCACGGATGCACGTGCGTCGTGCCTCATGTCCAACTTTGGCGGGAAAGTTCACAGTTCGCGGTACTTAAGCAAACTGGAATCCCGTTTAACCGGTATGGTCCCGGCTTTCTGATATATATTAAGAACCAAAACATAGTATAACTGTTATCTCGGCTGTGATTTAAATACTAGAAGTAATACAACTTGTTCAGGGTCAAAGATGGATTTTCGCGTCAAGATTTTGAACGATTATGAAGCTGTGAATTCAGCGAAACGCCTTTTATACGATGTCTACATTCACGAGATGGGCTGGGTCTTTCGTGAGGATAGCCCAACTGGTTTTCACATCGACAAAGACAAACGAAACCAACCGATTCTCTGTGACGCGTTCGATAAGGCATCTATTTGGGTCGGTGCTTACAAAGAAGACAAACTAATTGGGGTAACAAGAGCCGTTCAACGAAACAACACCCGTGGAAAGCTCGATCTTGAATTGTACCCCTCGAGCAGTTTACCTTCCATGAAGAGGCTTTTCCAAGGAAAAGAAGGGTGTCAAATAATAGAAGTCCAGCGTGGGGCAGTAGCCAAGGATTACAGAAACACAGAACCTAGCGTCATCCAACTTCTCCTCTTATTTGCGTTTAGCTTCGCGCAAGAGAAACAATTCAGCATTGTTTGCCCTACTGTTTTTCCTGCTCTAGAGACTTTATTTAGCCGGGCAGGAATGCACTTGGTAGAGAAAAATTTCACGTACGGTGAAGGCGAAGAGGAGTGGCCAACCTTCATCTTTTTTTGTTCTTCAGATGAGTTGGTACAAGTTTTGAAGCGACTAAAAAGGGTAACAAACAAGAGAAATGGAAGCTTCCTTCAAGAGAGAGGTCAGCAAGCCAAGCGAAGCAAATTTAATGTAGTATAAATGTAGCCGGTTTTCAAGGTTTAAAGTGCTTCTAGGATTAGAATCATGACTGAGAAGCTAGCGTTTTGTGCCAGGGATATACTAGTTCTAGGCCCCCTTTTGACTGAGGGGATTTGGGATGGATTCAGCTGAATTATATTTTGTAAAGGGAATTTAATAACTTTGTATTCAGTGTGAAGGAGCCTTACGAGGTTAAAAAAGTTTAAGAAAGTAGGTGCGACAAATTTAAGAGAACATTTTCGGTTAATTGACTCCAAGAGAGAATGAGCTCATTCTCTCTTATTGACTTTCAATTAAGGCAATAACTTTTTAACTATTCAACTTAGAAAAAGGACATGAATAAATAAATTATATGTTCAAAAAGCAAGGAATAAAATGTGATATTATTCATCATGATGTCAAATTGGTACAAATGTTGTTTCCGCAAATGTTTTTAACACCTTTTACAAACTAGTAGGGAAAACTTACGTCCCTTGCAAGTGAAAAGAGATCGTGCTGAAAGTCCCGCAACTGACGAGACGTTCAGAATTTTCTCCCTCACATTTTAGAGGACCAGAAAAAAAGGATTGAAAAGTCCATTTTTATCTTTGATCTTCCCAAAAGGCATAAACGCCTCGCGCGCGATTAATATTCACAAAGAAACATTTTAGATAGTAAGTAACATTAAGGAAACTAATTTTGACGTCTCTTACTTTACTTGTGTGCGCATACAAGAGGTTTTAATTTACGCTGAACCAGAAATGCAAATATCTATAGTGTCAAAAGGGTGATAGACTACGAGTAGTCCCCTATTTTTCCTCAGGGATAGTAGAGCGAGCGAAACGCGAGCGAGCGTGAAAATCACCCCACGCGAGAAAAGGCGACACGCCGCGTGAAGAAGAACTCGAGGCGCGCGCGTGCAAGCTTACCTCGCTCGCGCGCAACTGATTAACGCATTAAACAGATTAGGTTCTTAATGGTTACGCAGTAGTTACAATGTCAATCATTTTCTTTATCATCTTAAACACCCATCTTGACTCTGTCGCTTTTCGACGGTTTGGACAATAAAAGTTTGACCCCGAATTAACTTGGTCACTTGAGCCCCACACGATCACAGCTTTTAAAATTCCTTGTCTTTCAATCTGCACACGATTAAAACATGGAAGGCCATCCTGGGACACTCTCACACTCAATTTGTCGTATTCTTGGAACTGCAGGCCACGGCGATGCAGGACCCAAGAGAATGAAAGGTTCTAGCCAGTCTAGCAAGAGCATCGCATCAGGAAAGTTCTTGTGTGGCCGAAACGAATGTCCACAGACGTTCAATTATGGAGAAAACGAACAAGCGGCTTTAAAAGGGAAGCAAAACGAAGAACCACGCACAGTGTTCCCGTGGATGACGTTTAAGAGAAAGAAGAGAGTAAAGAAAAAGCCACAGCATTTGCAAAAGAGAGGTAAAGAAGTTCTAACTGTTTATCGCAAAATGCCATCAAGTCAGAGAGCCTTGTTAGCAGTGCTAACGAGACAGTCATTTGAAATGTCTTGTGCTAACGAGATGCCTTTCGTAATAACAAACCTAAATGGCGATAACTCAGTATTCAGAGTGAACTTTGCGGCTTTGCCAAAGAGCCGCATTGTGACGCAAACATCGACTGTTTCTGCTGCTAAAAAAGCTTTATCACCTTTCAAAAGCTATTGACAGAGTGCAAGTTTTTTCGTTGCGATTCGTGGCAGATCATGTCAGAAATGATTTTTAGCCTCGATGCATGTCAGTGGGTCTGGTTGTTTCATTTGAAATGATTGAAATTTCATTAGTATATCTTAGGAAGAGTCGATACCGGGTAACTTTCCTAAATTCGCACGTCTTTTGATTTTGATAGATAAGATATGCTTTTCTTGTTTCTGTTCTAAATTATTTCGTTTCTAAATGGTCTCTATTTAAAGATCTCGAAAGCCTATCCAATCTAAGTTAGTGGAAAAGTACTTACCAATCCTAGGCTCTTCACTGGCGTCGGACACAATCGTCCCTGTGAAACCCACTTTCACGGTGTAATACTTCACGGAGACCTTTTAAAAGAAAAAATACGATAAAAATAATCGAAAATTTGAAATTTTCACCCATAGCTTTGTGGTTTGTTGTGAAAGAAAACGACTTGACACGTCTATGCAAACAGTCACACATTAACCAAATTTCCTGTTTATAAATGAAGCCGTCATGTTGTTTTTTGTCACTTAAGCAATCCGCTAAACAAACCTCTATGAATAAAGTTTTTGTTATTACGGAGCCCGGGGGGTGGGGATGCTCGTCCTCTCGCTTAGGGGTGTAAATTTGGGATTTTGGTCTCACTTATTCATATTTAGCCATGAAAAATATAAAAATACATATATTGTCTGTGTTTTAACATAACATGGTCTCTTTCAGGGGTCAAAAAAAGCTTGAGCCACGCCCAGATCGGTCTCCTTTACGGGTTTAATTCAAAATTTCCGACGAGCATCCCCACCCCTTTCATATGCGACGATCATCCCCCCCTCAGAGGAAACCCAGACAAAATCGCTTTATAGGCCAATTTTTTGTTCATGAATTCTTCATCAAAAAGAGAGCACTTAAAATGAAAAGAGCCAATTTGGCCGAAAATGGGGCAAGATCAATGTTAATGAAACAATGTAACTACACCGACGTTATTTTGATATAAATCTCCCGGGGGTCGACATACCGGTATGCTAGTAGGACAATTTAAAAATGTAAAGGCCTAATGCAAACTAGAGATATCGGGCAAATTTGTTGAAATACTTTTGTTTTTAATACCAATTTTTTTTGTTCAGTTCTTCATCGCTTTGCTGACAAGATCAGTTTGCCGTTTATATATCTTGCAGACATATTAAATTCTGCAAGTAGAATATTGCAATGCCGATCGTACTATGTGAAAATTAACTTTGCAAGACACCGAAAGAACCCAAAACGGGGCAGTATTGTTTCATAGACAGCTGTTTCGCTATTATTGTAGCTCATCAGTATGGCGTAACAAACAGAGAAGCTCTTCTGAAAAATAAACCGCACACTCCGATTTAAGACCCGACCTACTCAAACTCCGTTAATACAGGGGTGTCCGTATTTTAAAGCCGGTTAAATTTAGAGAAAATGTAAGGGCGTCCTTTCCAAAGTGTAGGTACTGTAATGAGGTGTCCGTATTAAGGGCCTGTTTACATGGAGATGGGGGACCCCAGAAAGGTGAGGTAACCCGCTCGGGTGGGGTTAAAAGTTAACCCTCCTTTACATGCAATCTTACAACCCCGCCATCCTGGAGTGCACTTTCTCAAGGTTATTGATTGGTCGCGAAGCACGTAAACAAGGAAACTGCAGGCAAACCACGTTTTTAACGCAGGTTAAATTTTTCTATTGTTGAAATAATGATGAAATTTTGCGCGAATTTGATGTTTCACGAATCCGACCCCGGCTAGGCGGGTTACCCCACCTCAAAATTTGACCCCGGCTGAGAGGGTTACCCGGTCTAGCAGACCGGGCTACCCGCCTTGGCGGGTCACCCCACCTATCATGTAAACGTGATCAATTTAAAATGAGAGATTATATGGACAGGCGGGTTACCTCACCTACCTGAGTCCCCCACCTCCATGTAAACAGGCCCTAAGCGTTTTTAGACTGTACAAACTATTTGTAATGATGTCTGTAAAGCCGGGTTTGACTACAACTAAGAGATCCGTCTACAACATCCGGCACTACTCAACGGTTTGTTGCTGTGGTCTTACCGCTAGTTTTAAGCGGTTGTTGCACACATACAGAGCACAATGTAGTAAGATCGAAAGAGTTTTCCTAAGGCAAGAACGCATGTTTGTTGAGCAGGGTTCAAGAAATTAGCCATGGGGATGGCGTTTTAATAGCGGACGAAAATTAACGGTTTTTGGGCTTAAAAAAATACCCCTTTCCTTAACCGTACAAAGCTATAATTTGCACACTCTGTACTTTAAGTACTTAACTACCAATCTGGCGAAAAAAAGGGCATTTAAGAACTTGATCATAGAAGCGCTTTAAAAATAAGGGGACCAATTTGGGCGTGTTTTAGGCCTTATTTGTTGCACACATACAGAGCACAGTGTAGTAATATCGAAAGAGTTTTCCAAGACAAGAACGCATCCAAGTGGGACAAACCGAACATTATTTGTTGAAAAATATGAAACAGCAAACTGATCCTTACGGCAAACCTATGAAGAAGTAAACAAAAGAATAAAACAAACCATATATATTTAAACAAATTATTTGTTGAGCGGGGTTCAAGAAATTAGCCATGCAGCATGTGCTGAGTAAAGAAAATGACGACACAAAGTCATTGTCTTGTATTCTTGGTAAACACTAACCCCGGACACTAACCAGGCCGCAGGAACATGGCGTTTTAATGGCGGACGAAAATAAGTGATTTTTGCACGCAAAAAAAAAACATTTTCCTTGACCGTATTTGTACTTTTTTCATAGAAGTAGTGGGAAGCAGGTTGGAATATCAATTAGACTTATTTCCCTGATCATGTGCTCAATTCTTATGACCACTCTGTTTTCTAAGCATTGATATTATAAGGAGAAATTTTATATGCTGATCACTCTTAGGGCTTTAAAAAGGGTTAATAAGCAAAACAAACCCTCTGAACCTGAGCACACTTTTTGGCACATTTCTTTGCAGTCATCGCAAAAATAACGTTGTCAAATTTGATCGGAATGGCATTGCGATGGTCGCTTTCATCTCCGTAAGATCGTCTCTTTATCAATAGCGATCGTCGCCACTAGATTTGTCGAAAATATCCATACAGCACCTGCTCCAGTGTTTTGTATGGATATTTCTTTACGCACAGACCTAACCAATACCTTTGCGGGCAAAAATATCGGTTTTCCGTCCTGAATACCCTAAATGAGACCAAAAGAGGAATCTTCTACCCCTAACCGAGCATCGAGGCCACTTTTATATGGGATTTCCCCTCTCCCCCCCCCGATACACCTGTAAACCTCCTTAGCGTCC